AGCTCCAGGTCTTGTTTTTGCTGACTGTATAGAGTTTCTCCATCTTTGGCTGCAGAGAACATAATCAATCTGATTTCGGTATTGCCCATCTGGTGATGTCCATGTGTAGAGTCGCCTCTTGTGTTGTTGGAAAAGAGTGTTTGTGATGACCAGCTTGTTCTCTTGACAAAACTCTATTAGCCTTTGCCCTGCTTCGTTTTGAATTCCAAGGCCAAACTTACTTGTTGTTCCTTATATCTCTTGACTTCCTACTTTAGTATTCCAGTTCCCTAGAATGAGAAGAACATCTTTCTTTGGTGTCAGTTCTAGAAGGTGTTGTAAGTCTTCATAGAATTGATCAATTTCAGTCTCCTCAGCATTGGTGGTTGGTGCATAAACTTGGATTATTGTGATGTTGAAAGGTCTGCCTTGGATTTGTATTGAAATCATTCTATCATTTTTGAGATTGTATCCCAGTACAGCTTTTCCCACTCTTCTGTTGACTATGAGGGCTACTCCATTTCTTCTACGGGATTGAATCTGCCCATTCCCGTCCATTTTAGTTCACTGACGCCCAGGATGTCAATGTTTATTCTTGCCATGTCCTGTTTGACCACATCCAGGTTACCAAGGTTCATAGATCTTACATTCCAGGTTCCTATGCAGTATTTTTCTTTGCAGCATCAGACTTCCCTTTCACTTCCAGGCGCGTCTGCAGCTGAGCATCTTTTTGGCTTTGGCCCAACCAGTTCATTAACTCTGGAGCTAATTGTACTTGTCTTCCACTCTTCCTCAGTTGGATGCCTTCTGGCCTGAGGGGTTCATCTTCCCGTGTTATATCTTTTAGCCTTTTGTTTCTGTTCATAGGGTGTTCTTGGCAAAGATACTGGAGTGGCATTGCCAATTCCTACTCCAGGTGGATAGCGTTTAGTCAAAACTCTCCACTATGACCTGTCCCTCTTGCTGTCCCTGCATGGCATAGCCCATAGCTTCTCTGAATTACTCAAACCTCTTCGCCACAATAAGGCAGCAATCCGTGAAGGGGACTTTGCTAGTTACATTGCTCCTAATCTCAGAAAGTTGTCTGGCATAGAAAAGATGTGACTTGTTTTACCTAGCTGAATAAGACCTAATTTTTAGAATATTTATGCCATAGTGATTGATTTGCTTTTGCAAGACCTCACCATTCATTTAACTTGGACTGGGATGGGAGGAGGGCTGCTGATCCTTCCCTTTCTCCAGTCAAGTCTGAGCACTGGCAAACTCAGTTGCGATGTGAAGAAATACTGTCTCACGCTTATCTCACCTTTCCTACTATTCTCATCCTGTGGGATACAGTACTTATCTGGGTTTTTTTGGGGTGTTGGTGTTGGTTGGAAAGTGGTCAGTGAAAGGTTCTGTTTATACAGAAATGCAGGTTGTGCAGAAGTGGAGGTATAACTTAAAACATGTCTGATACCCAGTCCATTATTACTATACTGGATGTTCAGAATATTTTCCCCAAATTGGTATTACTGTGAATCTCAACCTTCCACCAGGTTTTGTGTATAGAATAACTCATAAATAATACAGACAATAAATTATACCAGCCTCTTTATTTTAACTAAAACTGTACCTAGTTATTAGGTGGAATAGAGCTTTAACTCCTAATACTAAAGGCTAAAGACAACCTATAACTTAACAGCATTTTAAATGCTTTGTTTTAGGGTCTGAAGTGCAGCAGACCACAGTTCTGGGAGCAGGTCAAAGAACATGGCAACCCAAGGTGTGTGTTGGAGTAAATCAAGTTTCTGATGCTTCATCTTGAATTTATTAACATGAGCACTCATTCACAATACTTAAAATATCAGCTCCCTGTACTGGGGAAATAAATTCTATCTAATCAAATCTATCAAGTTGGCTTGATTGGTCCCTTCAGTATATAATATTTCTGGGACTACTTTGAACAGCACATATAATTTTACATTGCAAAGGAAGATTTTGAAATTACTCATTTTCTATACTTTGTTCAGATTCATGTAGGTTTCTTAGCACAGTTTTGCATCCAGTCCTGTTTTCCCTACTTAAGTGAGATTCGTTTAGGTTAGCTTTGTCTTCTTGAATATCTATTAGTTCCATAGTCAAGAAGAATTCTCACAGATGACAACTTTTGAATTACTGTATTACTCTAAACAAGCTAGGTTCTTATAGCAGTCACCATTTTATATATAAGACCTAATATAGTGTTCAGATTTTTAACATTTAGGGTATCTTACAAGTAAAATTTTAAACAGTGTTTTACTCTGACTTCTTGTTTTAAACATGAAATTAATCAATGCAGCCTTACTCAGATTTATTTAAAAGATGCACAGCTATCAGAGAAAGATAGAAATTTCTAGCAGCAGGTAGGTAATAGTTTGACAAGGCAGTAAAAAAAGGCATCAAAGAATAGTAGGGCAAACTTCCTTAGAATTCCCTACCTAGGCACCACCATGGAAAAGTCCCTTATGGTAGTGCAGTGCATTTGGGACAGAGCTGAGTTTCTTCAGCAGCTCTTAAAGAAAACTGCGGCTATATAAATGCTCTGCATATATGACTTGTATTTCTATATTATATATGAAATTTGGTTTTGACAAAATTATTTCTTAATTTTTCAGCAAGCTGACTTCTAAACATTGATCTCTTACAGCGGACTTGATGGAGTTGGATATGGCAATGGAGCCAGACAGAAAAACAGCTGTCAGCCACTGGCAGCAACAGTCATATTTGGATTCTGGTATCCACTCTGGTGCCACAACAACAGCTCCCTCTTTGAGTGGCAAGGGTAATCCTGAAGAGGAAGATGTCGATACCACCCAAGTTCTGTATGAATGGGAACAAGGATTCTCTCAGTCTTTCACCCAGGAGCAGGTTGCTGGTAGGTACATTTCAATGGCTTTGCTGTCTGTCTGCTTGTTTGATGATCACATAGTAAATTGGCTCATTCATGTTGTAGATATTGATGGACAATATGCCATGACTCGAGCACAGAGAGTTCGTGCTGCCATGTTTCCAGAAACATTGGATGAAGGCATGCAAATTCCATCAACACAGTTTGATGCTGCTCATCCAACAAATGTACAACGGCTTGCTGAACCTTCCCAGATGTTAAAACATGCTGTGGTTAACTTGATAAACTACCAAGATGATGCAGAACTTGCAACTCGTGCCATCCCAGAACTGACTAAGCTGTTGAACGATGAGGATCAGGTATGTGCATGAAACTGTGATGTTGGTGACTACCATTGTGTTGTGATATCTCAAAGGTCATACCTGTTGTACATGTATGGTGATTCTGAAACTAGTGGTTTCATTTTTAATCTTCTCTGAATGCCAAAAACAAATATAGATTTCAGATGTGTTTCTAGGTGGTGGTGAACAAGGCTGCAGTTATGGTCCATCAGTTGTCCAAAAAAGAAGCCTCTCGCCATGCTATCATGCGTTCTCCTCAAATGGTATCTGCCATTGTACGTACTATGCAGAATACAAATGATGTGGAAACAGCCCGTTGTACAGCGGGTACACTGCACAATCTGTCTCACCATCGTGAAGGCTTGCTGGCAATCTTCAAGTCAGGAGGCATTCCTGCTCTTGTCAAAATGCTTGGGTATGTAGATAACTGACTTGCCACATCTTCAGAATATCTGTCTCTCTTGTCTTGGATGCCTCCTAACTTTCACTTTCTTTATAGTTCTCCAGTGGATTCTGTACTCTTCTATGCCATTACTACTCTGCACAATCTTCTGTTGCACCAGGAAGGTGCCAAAATGGCTGTTCGTCTAGCTGGGGGTCTACAGAAAATGGTTGCCTTGCTCAACAAGACAAATGTTAAATTTTTGGCCATTACAACAGATTGCCTTCAGATTCTTGCTTATGGCAATCAAGAAAGCAAGGTAATTATTAAGCATTTCAAGTATTCAAAGGTCGTATTATCCAAGGAGTGCATAGCAATTTTGAGCCAAAAAGCATAGAGAACATTCCATAGTTTTAATTTACTACTTGAATTCTGGGAGCCAGCATGACATAGTGGTTAGTGTCAGACTGAGACTAGGAAAGTGATCTCATGTCACAACTCAGTCATAAATTGTTCAGTTTCTAATTTGCTGTTTGATAGTGGGACAGTCACTACCTCTTGCTTACCTTAATTTATCTTTAGTATTGTTGCAAACTTATGAGTGAGGTAGGCAACATGCATACCTTCTTAATTTGGGGATGGGGAGCGGATGTAAGTGAAATTCTATTGATCCTTTTTTTTTAAACTGACTTTTTAAAAACAGCTTATCATTTTGGCAAGTGGTGGACCCCAGGCTCTGGTGAACATAATGAGGACCTATACCTATGAAAAACTACTGTGGACCACAAGTAGAGTGCTGAAGGTGCTATCAGTCTGCTCTAGTAACAAGCCAGCAATTGTGGAGGCTGGTAAGTAACCTCTTTTTGTTTTAAATTGGAGTACTGTCAAGACTTGTTCTGTGGCTTTCATGCAAAATTTGCTGATACTGTCCTTTTCTCTATGTTGCAATAAAAGTTGCAATGTGCCTTACAGAAGGTGTTTCAAAATGAATTGAGTGCTTCAGGTTAAGACAATAACTATATGAGATTACTTGTTATTGGAGAGACGCCAGCTTCAGTAAAATAAAAGCTATGTGATAATTTGCAATTTAAAGTTGAATGATATATCTCAGCCACTACATATTATGGCACAGTTAACTGCCTCAACTGGTGAAGTAGTTAACATACTTAAGTCATGAAGAGGCACTGTCACTGGAAATGCATTGTTTGACACTGTTGAAGATACAGATTATGTGTAATTTGTTGGCTATGCATGAGCTAAACAGGATTTAAGAAATTGATACGTGAGATTGAAGAGGGAAGGAAATACAGTGGTGTCTCGCATTATGACGTTAATTCATTCCAGCGAAATCACTGTAGAACGAAAACGTCGTAATGTGAAATTAAAAAGCCCATAGAAACGCATTAAAACCCGATTAATGCATTCCTAGGGGCTTGAAACTCACCGTCCAGCGAAGATCCTCCATAGCGCGGCCATTTTCGCTGCCTGTGAAAAGAGCGGGGAGCCATGTTTTTTACCCGGCAGCCATTTTGAAACCTCCGATCAGCTGGCCGAAAATCATCGCTTTGTGAGAATCGGTTCCCAAAGCAGGGAACCGATGATTGCAAAGCGAAATTCCCCCATAGGAAACATCGTTTTGCGATTGCTTTTGCGATCGCAAAACCTTCAACGTAAAGCGATTTCGTCGTAAAACGAAGCGCTCGTAATGCGAGGCACCACTGTAGTCTGATGTTAGGATCCTTTGCCCTTGGTTGCATGTGCTATAGACTGACATGGTTGCTTGCTTTTGAAATTGGATCTACAGCTGTATGGGATTTGTCTTAAGTGAATCCACTGTGATTTATTAATTAGATTCCTGAAATGACGCTTCATGAGTACTTAGACGTCTATAAGGAGTAGCAATATGAAGAGTTTCAACAATCCTGAGGCTAGCAAGCTCACATTTTTCATTTTGGAAAGTGTTTGTCTTGAGAATAGGGGTCTGGCATTCCAGGGGTTGGGAAGAAAATATGCATTATAGGGTATCTAATTGCTTGATCTTGCAGGTGGAATGCAGGCCTTGGGACTACACCTTACAGATCCCAGTCAGCGTCTTGTTCAGAATTGTCTCTGGACTCTTAGAAATCTTTCAGATGCTGCAACGAAGCAGGTAAAGATCAGAAACCAGAAATGTTCTTATGAATACTCAAAGCTCCCCCATACCCTGATCCTCAGTGTCAGAAAATGCACCACTGCTCACAACAGGTTATACTAATAGTATAATATTTCTCAGAATGTTTTTTATCTTTTAAAAGAATGGTCAACTAATGGGATTGGCTGAATTGCTACTCAACAAAAGGATACTGCCAGCATGCTGATATAAGGCCAGTGTATGGTTTATCATCCCTGTTCACAGATCTTGAACTTAAATAGATCTTCCTTGTTGTGGTAATCTGAACTTCCCCCCTGGTTTAGTGGCAAATAAGAATGGAAACTCATTTAAATCTAGTAAGCAAGTGAGGAACATTCAGGCGAAATGGCAAAATATTGGTTTGTGCTAAGCCAGGAATAGAAGTGTGGGGACAGTTATGTGTCAGGGGAGGAAGGAGTGTATTTGCCCAAGGCCTGTGCCTGTCTGCACTTGTAAAAAAAAAAAAAACAGTGTCAAAGTGTAGGGAGTAGTGTACTATTGTAGTTACTATAGCAAATGTTAGAATGCCTTTAGTATCTCTGCTAAAAATAATGTGCTATTTATCTAGACATGGAGTGTTATATGATAGACTGTGCTTTGTTATAACTCTCAAGATGATACAAATACAGGAGGCTGATCAAGCCTAACTTGTGCTTTCACTTCTGTGCTATCATTATTTTTATGTTCACTGTCCTTTATCAAAGCAGATCCTAGGGTGATGTAAAAATCATGAACTTGCACTCTGCCATTCATTAGGTTTTCTTTTTACTTATTCTGTAAATAGAGAACAACACAGGAACAAGATTAGCTGTAGTAAATTCTAGTGATTACACCACTGATTTTATCCCTAAGCTTTATCCCTGTCCTATGTTTTAGACAAGCCATTCACCTTTTATTTTTGAAAGTGGCCTTTAGAAAGTTTACTCCTCCACAAATTCAACCATGAAGAAGTTGACATTCATGTCAATGAGAACACACCTAGTATGTATTTAAAGTGTAGCAATAACTCTGTGTGCCCTTAATTGGAGAACAAACTGTCATTTGATAAGACTGTTAGTACTCATGCTTCTAACTGGTGGGCAGGTTTCTCACATATGCCCACTTCCCATTCAGTTGTGGTACTGATTCTTTCCTCATTCCCTGGCATAGATGGGACAGGTGCATCCTCCCTGTATGATTTTCTCTTATGGCCACTGCCACTCTTCATGTTCTTGGGAAGCCCTGTTAATCTGGGACCAGTAATCCCTTAAAGGCCCAAACCTTTGGGGTTCAACCAACAAATAAGGATGTGATAGTAAAAATATCTGGTACAAGGCATATCTGTGGGATCTGTTGACATTATTGAAGTTTGTGTTCTTAATCATTGTTTGCAATGATAAAAGGTGACATATTGAGAAGCTGATGTTAAATGCATTTTTCTTCTTATAGGAAGGTATGGAGGGTCTTCTTGGAACACTTGTGCAGCTCTTAGGATCAGATGATATCAATGTTGTAACCTGTGCTGCTGGTATCCTTTCTAACCTTACTTGTAATAACTATAAGAATAAAATGATGGTGTGCCAAGTTGGTGGAATTGAGGCTCTTGTGCGCACAGTTCTCCGGGCTGGTGATAGGGAAGACATCACTGAGCCAGCAATCTGTGCACTCCGTCACCTCACTAGTCGGCATCAAGAAGCTGAGATGGCCCAAAATGCAGTGAGACTTCATTATGGACTTCCAGTGGTTGTTAAACTCTTGCATCCACCATCTCACTGGCCTCTTATCAAGGTGAGGCTACCTAGAAACTTGTGTTACTAATACAATCCTGTTATAGGGAAGAAAAGTAGATCAAATACAATTGAGAGCCAATGTTTTTATTTTCAGCTATGAGAATTCGCAAAATGCTTTAGCAAGATTTTATACTATGTATTTATTTTGTGTATCTTTGTATAATTGGATCTATGGACGCATAATAAAACTTTTTTATTTGACAGCCAAGATATGGTGGGATATAAGGATAGCAAGTTTTCAAAGCATTTTTGAATCCAATCTGTGTAGCAGATCTAGGTTCTAAAATGTTTTCCAGGATGTCATTGCCTTTCTAATTTCCGCCTTGTAATTGCAGGCTACTGTTGGTCTGATCCGCAATCTTGCTCTCTGTCCAGCAAATCATGCTCCATTGCGTGAGCAAGGTGCTATTCCAAGGCTAGTGCAGCTGCTGGTTAGAGCACATCAGGATACCCAACGTCGTACTTCAATGGGTGGCACACAGCAGCAGTTTGTGGTATGTGGGTCTTAATGAAGAGTGGCACTCATCTGTGTAGTAGAGTCTCAAATTATATGGTGTTATCTACTTTGTGTTTCTCCAAAGGTCCTTGTGAACCTCCACTCTATCGATTACTCCTTGGATCAGTGAGATACAAACTAGCTTGACAGTGTGCCCAAAATCTATCATAGAATTTTGTTATTGATAATTATTCACATTTATTAATACATGCACATAATTTCTGGCTGTGATTGGTTACATTAGCTAGAGGTGTTCTGTCCAGTTTGAAATAATTATTAATAACTTTGTTGAAGTAGTGTATAGTGGGCAGAACAACAACTCTAGTACAGTTTCATGCAAAAATCACTGTATTTTTGCTCCTGCTTCCTAAATGATACATGGATAGTATTAATTTGAATCTTAGTCCCAGAAAAAGTCATATATAATTAGGCGAAGATATGTCACAGAACGATCTGTCTTAATTTTCTCATACTAAAGAAAAACATATTTTAAGGACTGCATAATATGTCCTTGGTGTAGCCGAAATAAACCAGGTCCTCTGATTATGAGTAATTTATAGCCAAGTAGTTAAATTGGTAGTAGTTCCCTCCTTGGTTTTTTTTGTTTTGTTTTGTTTTTTTGTTTTTGTGCCTCACTACCAGCAGTTAGTTGTTCCAGCCAAAGGAGCTATAGTTTAACATAATTCCATTCAATCTGAACGAGTAGCTCAGTGCAGATGAATTCTAGCAGCAGCAAAGGATAGATAATACAAGATGACATCAGAGAACAGTTGATGGTATCCCTGACGACTATGGTTATCCTTGGAAGCTCTTCATAACTTTAGTGTGGGAGCACTAAATTCATAATCATACCTCCTAATCAGGGAGCATCCTTCCAGTACAGTGGACCCTTGACTTACAGACGGCTTGACTTACAGACTTTTTGAGTTAGCCTTCTCTGGCCGCAAAATTTAGGTTTGACTTGCAGACTGAGATTTGACTTACAGACCAGAAAAAAACCAAAATGGAACAAAAATGGCCTGTTACGGGATTAATCGGTTTTCAGTGCACTGTAGGTCAATAGAGACTTGACTTACAGACTTTTTGACTTGAAAACCGCCTTCCAATACAGATTAAGTTCTCAAGTCAAGACCCCACTGTATAAACCAAGCACTCTTGAGCTTACTAACTGGAGAGTTGTGGATAGAGAAGTGTACTTTTCACTAAATCTACGTAGTCAAATACAGATTAGAATTCTGACTACTGTGTTGGAAGTCCACTCTTAACCAATCCATGATCTGTATTCATTGTTTACTTCAAATAAAAAAATCTGTCACTGAGCATTCTAAAGCAATTACAAAATAAGTCTACAGTTCTCTACAGAATTATAAAATGAGAAATAAAATGTTTTTATCTTTCAAAGTTAGGGTGATTGTTGAAATACAATAATTGATAGTGTCTAAGTACAGTGGTGCCCCGCTTGATGATTACCCCCCTTGACGCTGAAATCGCTTCACGACGATGTTTTTGCGATCGCTATTGTTTCAAAGGGCGATTTTCGTTTTACAATGATCGATTCCCTGCTTCAGGAATCAATTCTTCGCATTACAACGATCTAAAAACAGCTGATCTTTGGGTTTCAAAATGGCCGTCCGCTGTGCAAAATGGCTCCCCGCTGTTTTCAGGACTGATTTTTCGCCTTACAGGCAACAGAAAATGGCCACCCTATGGAGGATCTTCACTGGACGATAAGGTATTTCGCCCATTGGAACGCAATAATCAGTTTTTAATGCGTTTCAATGGGTTTTTCCCCCGCTTGACGGCGATTTCGCTCTACCACGATTGTAACGGAACGGATTATTGTCGTCAAGCAGGGCACCACTGTAGATGGAAACATGGTTCTTTGTGGGGAAAAATATCAAAGGCATGACTAAGTGTGGAGTCTTTCTGTAGTGAATGACTAAAATGGTGTGGCACTTATATTTCCTGTACAGGAAGGTGTGCGTATGGAGGAAATAGTTGAAGGCTGCACTGGGGCTCTTCATATCTTGGCTAGGGATGTCCACAATCGAATTGTAATTAGGGGTCTAAACACCATTCCGCTGTTCGTACAGGTAGGTGAAATTTCTTGGTAAGAAACTGAGTAGTTGTGATTTTATATAAGAGTATAAGAAGTTTTTTGTTCAAAGACTCTTACCTGCATTAAGATATGATTGCATTTTGGTGGCATATGCATCTGAGCACATTGACAGGATTTTAGCCTGTGCACGTTGTGTTTGTCCAGAACTATAGAATTTGCCATCAAGTGCAAAATTTGGCATTTTGATTGAGCGTCACAGAACAGCTTGTAATGCTGAAAGTATGTTCTTAGAAATGTCTAACACATGTAGAATTCCCTAGGGTTAAGTATAGAGGCTTAAATAATTCTCTTAAAACAAGAAGCAATTTGTTTAATAACTTGGCAGCTAGACAGCTTAAACAAATAACATGATTGTTTTTTATAGTGATGCACGTAGTGTACAGGGAGTTACTTCCTTAGATGATGGCAACTAGCTTGTTTCCTCTATAAAAGATAATATACATGATAAGAGTTAATGGCTGACTGTTCATGGTACTGAGGATTGGAAGTGATTGCTGTATTTTTTGTGTGATCACTGGGAGAGCATCAGCTTCTGGGGGCATATTCTAGGACATCTGTCCTACCTTGTTTTTATTTCCTTGCTTTTAGCTGCTATATTCCCCTATTGAGAACATCCAAAGAGTGGCTGCAGGTGTGTTGTGTGAACTGGCTCAGGACAAAGAAGCAGCTGAAGCAATTGAAGCAGAGGGAGCTACAGCACCATTGACCGAACTTCTTCATTCTAGGAATGAGGGTGTGGGTAAGTAGTGTGGGGGACACATGAGCCCTGTCCAGTTCTGGGCTCTTTTGCTAAAACTTGTTTTTCTTTGTAAATAGCCACATATGCTGCTGCAGTGTTGTTCAGGATGTCTGAAGATAAACCACAAGATTATAAGAAAAGGCTTTCAGTGGAGTTGACCAGCTCTCTCTTCAGAACTGAACCAATGGCTTGGAATGAGGTGGGTTATACTGTGTCCATTTCACCTTTTTATTCATAGATTTCCATTGGGACTTTGTACTGGGATTTGAATAGCCCCATATCCAAATTTTTTATTAAAAGGACAGACCTCGTGAGAAGAAGCAGTGTTGTGCTCCTGAAGTGCCTAAAGGGCACATAGAGGCACTCTTAACCAAAGCACTGTGTTTTATTTCCCTGTTTGTAGCTGCTATATTCCCCTATTGAGAACATCCAGAGAGTGACTTGCAAGTGTGTTGTGTGTACTGGCTTAGGACAAAGAAACAATTGAAGTAGAGGGAGCCACAACACCATTGACTGAACCAGCTGATTGCAGTTCACTGTTCCTAGCTGCTAAGATTAGTGGGGTTCTAAATGCATGATGCTCATTAAATCTAATAGTCACAAGAAAATTGGCTTCCCATTATTAAAAAATATTTTAAATAATGAAACAGTATTGCAATAGTTATTCTAATTTTAGAATAAACCACTGCAGTGCAGATCAGCCCCAGTGAGATAATCTGCCTTGCTTCATGAAACCTGTTACCTTAAAACCAACTAGAATTGAAATAACTTACATTTAAATATCATGAAAGTGCACACATCAGCTGAACAGTTGCTCTTAGAGACAGTTCATGGAACTAGAGATTATATTGTATGTGGAATGAATTGTTTGCCTTAACATATTCCCTACAGACAGCTGAGCTGGGACTTGATATTGGTGCCCAGGGAGAACCTCTTGGTTATCGCCCAGATGGTATGTATGAATTCCTTAGCTGATTTGTAGTAAACTAAACAAAATGAAAATATTTTTCATGGAGAACTGCAGACATACTATGCTAAAATGGTAGTGTACATTGTAACTTAATGTGTTAGCTTGTACAGCTCAGTAGAACAGTGGCAAGTCAATGGGCTGTGAACAGCCTCAGTGAGAGAACCTCACTAAGGCAATTATAGATTAGTTGCTTATATTTCAACACACACAAAAAATACCTAACATGCAGTTTTGTTTAAAACACTCTGGTTATATAAATGTATATATGTTGGTTCTAAAAACAGGTTTTAAAAAAACAAGCAGAAACCTTTCTAGATGCATATTTAAAATCTGCATTTCAGTTGTGTGCGTTGTAATAGTATTGTTGTCTAAGGTTTCTAGCAGTATGCAGACTAATGGCTTGGCTGAAATTTGCTTACGCTTCTGGTAGTAGCATGCTTAATTGGCAGAGCCACACCAATGTACTTAATTATCTGTCATTTTGTCTATATGGGTCCAGGCTAGAAAATTTGACTTCAGTGTGGCTGGATTATGAAATCTCACACACTGATATTTGGAGCTTCTGATGCATCTAACATGTTAACATGCTTTCCCCCCTTCTCCCCTCTGCCACCCTTAACTTTCTTAGATCCTAGCTACCGTTCTTTCCACTCTGGAGGATACGGTCAGGATGCCTTGGGTATGGACCCAATGATGGAACATGAAATGGGTGGCCACCACCCTGGTGCTGACTACCCAGTTGATGGGCTGCCAGATCTAGGACATGCCCAGGACCTTATGGATGGGCTGCCTCCAGGTGACAGTAATCAGTTGGCCTGGTTCGATACTGACCTGTAAATCATCCTTTAGGTAAGAAGTTCTGCCTACCAATCTGAGAACTTGGCTGGCAGGGAGGGATCTATTTGGGTTGGTCCATGCTGGTCATAGACATGAATTGCATTCAGACTGACTCATGGTGTGATCTGTGAAAGTGATTAACTTAGGCGTGTCATACTACGGGCTTCATGCAACTCTTAACAGGAGTAACCATGTCTTTGTTTTAACACGACTTTATTTTTTTCCTCCTACACAGCTGTATTGTCTGAATGATCTTGCATTGTGATTGGCCTGTAGAGTTGCTGAGAGGGCTCGAGGGGTGGGCTAGTATCTCAGAAAGTGCCTGACACACTAACCAAGCTGAGTTTCCTATGGGAACAACTGAAGTAAACTTTTTGTTCTGGTCCTTTTGGTCGAGAAGTAACAAATGGATTTGGGGAGTGACTCACGAAACGAAGAATGCACAAGAATGAATCACAAGATGGAAATTATCAAACCCCAGCCTTGCTTGTTTAATTTTTTTTTAAATTTTTAAATCTCTGTAATGGTACTGACCTTGCTTGCTTTCAAAGTAGTTTTCTTTTTGCAGTAACTGTAGAGTTTTTAAGTATCTGTGTTTAAGTTATAGTGAACATGCTACAGCAATTTCTGATTTTTAAGGATTGAGTAATGGTGTAGAACACTAATTCATAATCACTCTTAATCGTATTCTGAAAAGTGTTAACATTGTGTAGCCTTTTTGTATAAAAATTAGACAAATAGAAATGGTCCAATTAGTTTCCTTTTTAATATGCTTAAAATAAGCAGGTGGATCTATTTCATGTTTTTGATCAAAAACTTTATCTGGAGATGTCTGGGTAGGGGCCAGTAAAGAACTGTTGTATGGAACCTTGTATTGGACAATTTACCAGTTGCCTTTATCCAAAGTTATTGTAGCCTGCTGTGATACAGATGCTTCATGAGAACAGTTATACAGATGGTTCAGAATTAAAGTAAACTTTTAATTCATTTTGCTGTGTCACATTATTTCTGCTACTCCTGTGCAAGTCAGTTTGGTGAAATTCTACATGTGATAATCTGTTGTACAGCATTCACATTGTCTTAACATTACCTGAACCTCACATGTTGATGTGAGAAAGTATTATGTAAGAACCTTGGTTTTGCAGTACAATCTTGTGTATGATTGATTAATCAGAAATAAGTGCATTTGTACTTACTAGGGTTTATTTGCTAGTAAGTGCATCTTAGATTACTCTTGTTTAATATTTCTACTCACTTTTGGTATAATTAAGCTAGTTTATGTAGAAGACAAGGTTAGTATAGTTCTTAAGCATGGTATTTTAGAAAAATTAGTAAGTGATGTTGTGTTCACACTTGTCTGTAAAATAGAAATGAATCCAGTCATGTATGAGGGAAGAAATATGGGATCAAAATATAATAAGTATTTTTATGGGAGGCTCTTCCAGATCTTGGTTATGGCCTCAAGAAAGCACTCTTAACATCCATCCTCACTATTGGGGGTTGATGCAGTGGAATGATTACTTCAGCTAGTGTTGGGCATGCTGAACTAATGGATTTCCTGCATTGGCAGAAGTTTTGATAGTGTTTCTGGTTTAGTGATTTGTAAATTAACTCCCTAAAAATGCTTGTCTCACACTTTGCTGAAATTGTTTTTGGGGTTTAAAAACTGAAACCAGTAGCTTTATGTGCAGCTAGATACTGGTTGGCAACCAGTCCATTAGAAAAATAATCCTGGTATCTGTGTTCTTAACCAATTGAAGCTTCTGGATTCGAGTCAAAGCATGTTCTGTATAGAGCACAGAAATGTATTCAGACCTGATTTCAGTTATTATCCTTTAGTCACTACCTGCTTAAGAGAAGCATGCTGCTGGAGTGCAGCACAAGCTGATGGAAACCAATACTGCTATCCACTGTGCTGGCAGAAACATACAAGTCAGTTAAGAAGTGTGATAGCTGACAACTGACTTCATAATCCAGCCATATTAAAATGATTAGAACAGAATAATATTATAGAACCTAAAATACAGTTGGCAATTTATATCAAAGTAACCATTTGCATCCTATGAAATGTTAGGCAAATATTTGACAGATGCTGGTAGCAATGAAATGTATGAATTTGAAACCTGTATGTGGGTGATGGTATTGATTCCTCTTATCCTAAGTATAGTCTAGGATCACAGGAGAGGAAGGCTTGTTGGGTTTCCACCACACGCTCTAATCATGCACATAAAACGCTATATTGAGCAGCTTTCCAAAATATTGTAAGCAGGATCATAACTGGACTTGAGGAATCAGTACAACCTGCTCTGCCCAAGGAATCTACAGACAGTATGGAAAAAAGGGTATTAGTCTTTAAATCTATTGTGGCATCTCCCTTCCTTAGTTTTTCTTTGCTACTGTAGAACAAGGTAAGGAGAATTCATACACCTCTCTGCAATTTCTCTCAAACTTCTTCAACTCCACAGTTTTCTTGCTGTTCCCATCTAATTAAATAGCTTTCTAACTCCTGGGGAAGAATTCTGTTGGGTTTTTTTTTTCAGATACTGATAAATTACTAATTTCATTATATTTCACTGTGAGCCAGGATGCCTAAGGCTAATGGGAATTGGAATTTAGCAATATCTGAAAAAGGGCAGATTGCTGTCTAGTTCCCATCAGTCTCTTATCCCAGATTACCCATGTCCTTCTTGGAGAAGATGGGATGATAAAGTCTTTCTGTGTCATTAATCAACTGTCTTGCTGATGCCCCATCATTTTTGTGTATTCCATCAGAAAAAAAGTAGTCAGTGTACCTAGTTGTGTTCTCTTGTTATTTTCTCAACTGTTTTTGTCTGCTCCTAGCAAGTACCACAATGTGTTTGTGTTAGAAGACTGTCAGTAAACATACTTATTTTGCATTATATGCAAAACAGTTTCCCCAGATTTCAGTAGGAGTAAAACAGCCATACAGTGGAGGATGGCATTACATGATGTCAGTCACCCATCACAGGTGTATTAAAAAATATGAAAAAGACAAACAGCGGAAGAAAGTTTTATTTAGAAACAGGATTTAAATTTGAAAAAAAAACTAAAGAAACAAGAGTATAGAGCTGTTGCATGATTCTAGTTGACTGAGCCTTCATAGTGTTCAATTTTCTTGAGGATTTCAGAAGCCAAGGAGGTGATTATTATATCAGCATGGAAGCTACTGTATCGGGAGAAAAACAGTCAGTTAACATGACACCTATAGAGATATTATTTGAAGAGCAGTCTGCTACAAGAATTTTTTACCATTAGCTGCCACTTTAACAACTGTAGGTAAGGTTGCATTTCATTTTCTTCAGCCATTAGGAAATAATGGCACGTTCCAGTACCTCCATAATCCTAACTGGTCCTGCTATCCTTGTTAAAAGTAAACTTTTTTTAAGATGCCCCTTTGAAAAATGGTTTAATATCAAAATGTTTGGGGTTTTGCCTGGAAAGCTCAGGTGACTCAACATATTACTGTAACCTTTCATAATTTAGTACCTCGGGTTTTGGGTTATGATTCCCATCACCTACAAGGCAGTATGGCCATTAGTCATGGATGATGGGTATTGTTCTCTGAACATGTGTATGGTGCCAACTTGGAGAACATGTTGCTCTGGTATAGCTCAGTGTTGGGTGACTGTAGACTGGATTGGAAAGCAACTTTTGATGGCAGTGCTCCCAAGTTTCAGTTCGCTTATGAGAAAAGTTGCTTAGAGTTTCACTAAATAGATTCCAAGAAATAGAGTATCTTAATATTTCTGTTCATGAAATTCACAAAAGTAGTTAACCTACTGTCATAAGATACCTGTACATAGTAGCTATGTATGAATCCCTTGCTGGCACCCACTTTTGTTAAAAACATTTTGATGACTTGTAATCCCGAGATTACTCGTGAATAGGCAGGACTACAGAATATAGAAGGTTGCTATTTTTAATATAGTATGTTAGATATGTAGCTTAGTTCAAACTTAAGCATGCTAGATTTTGAACAAGAAGCAGACTTTATGTTAATAGATATATAATAATTCACATCCCCTGATGGAACAATTTCAGCCAGTAGAATGGGGATGAAAGTGTTTCCCTTTCTCCCTAGTCTGCCATATAGACTCAAAATCTGCAGGTGGTTAAGGGACCATACAGAGTAGATGGGGGCTACAACATGAATCTATCTGTACAACATTAGAGCTGTATGCACATCAGTTGGTGATTTTGAAGTGTGCTACAGTTTTAACTAACAGTTGACCAAAAACCCATGGTTTTCATGGAGAAGAGTTCAGGGGAAACAAGCTTTGGGTGGTATGTATGTGAAGGAGGGGTGACTTTGCAAGGAAAAATAAGTAAATGAGAAGTAGGTATGAGATGTAGGAGCCGGAACTGCACAAGACCAGAAATAAACAGCCTAGAACTAAGGAGGAGGAAGGTCCCATGCTGACCTCATTGACATATGGTTTAAGGCAGTGGTTCTTAACCTTTGTTACTCGGATGTTTTTGAACTGCAACTCCCAGAAACCCCAGCCAGCACAGTTGGTGGTGAAGGCTTCTGGGAGTTGCAGTCCAAAACTCATGAGTAACCCAAAGTTAAGAACCAGTGGTTTAAGGGACTGAAAAGAGACTCATGTCTTGAGTCCCACATCTTTGTTAACCTTCTGATAATGCATCTATTTGTTGCTCTATGACAAATCCAGGAACAAAAGGAGAAAAGTATTAAGAATTGGTGAAATGGTGGCATCATGAGGGAGAAACCATTGCTTTTCCTGTATAATTTTTCAGTTGAGTGGGAATAATCTCTCAAGAGTGGCAAAAGTCATTTCATATGTCTGTTTCAACGTTTCTTTTGCTAAATAGTTGCTAGAATGAAGACATTTGATAAAGCACTTCAGAAGTTACATCAGTTTTAGTCTTCACACTGTATTTATAGACCCAGTATTTCATTACACTGAACAGAGGGTTGGAACATGTAGAGCTCATTATGAAACTGTGAATAAGAGTTTAGCAAAATATCCACTAAAAATGAGTAGTTAATTTTTTTTAACCTAGTGTGTGGCACTTTTATTCTGACAGAAATTAATAGCACACCCTTGATCTGAATTGTGTCTTAGTATAGGATATGGAATACATATAAATACAGTGGTGCCTTGCTTGACAACGATAATCCGTTCCAGCAAAATCGCTGTAGAACGAAATCATCATCAAGTGAAAGTAAAAAGCCCATTAGACTGCATTAAAAACCGGTTAATGTGTTCTAATGGGTGAAATACCTCATCGTCCAGCGAAGATCCTCCATAGGGCAGCCATTTTCTGGTGCCTGTAAAGCGAGGATACGCAGCGGGGAGCCATTTTGAAAGCCCGACGATCAGCTGTTTTGATCGTCGTAAAGCAAAAAATTGGTTCCTGAAGCAGGGAACCGATCATCGTAAAGTGTTTTTTTCCTATCTAAACATTTTGTGATCGCAAAAACCTAATCTTTAAGTGGATTTGTTGTGGAGCGGGGTA